CATCATCATCATCATCATCATCATCATCATCATCATCATCATCATCATCATCATCATCATCCACTGTTACTGGTAATGAGATAGACATGGATAGACCCAATATATACCCAATCTCTTTGACGAACCTTTGAACATCCACCTCAAGCACCACAGACCTTCTTGCGTCTGAGGCAACAACCGGAGTCCACCCCGGGACCGGAAGGAGGAGCGTGGTCCCGCGCGGAAGCGCGCAGTGGCTGCCACGATGATTTGCGCTTGCTCATCTGCTTTCATGGACTTAGCCGCGAAAGGCGAGACAGGTTTGGGAGGTGGGTTGGCGAAGAAGTCAGTGACCAGGACCGACACCAAGAGGTGACATAGCCTCTTAGTGGTTAAGGGGTGTCCAGAAACCACTGGGCTTGGAAGATGCTGGTATAGATGTGTTGATATGTTTCGAGATTGGATGGGGGGTTCAAGTGTGGAGGTTTTGACGGTGTCCGAGCTGTTGGACGACAGAGTCCTTAAGGACCTCAGGGACATCTTCTACCCAAATAACGTCGACAAGCTGCAACGCCTTTGGGGACACCCCACTGAACAGAAACTCATAGAACAACAACATCTACCAGGACCCCCCATGGGGTGGTTAATGGACACCCCGAATCACAGCTAAGCGGCTATCAATAGACACCCCAAACGGAGGGTCCTGGTACTGCTACTGCTACTTGTTTTGTCAGGGAAACTGAGGGAGTCGGTTCTGACCAACGATTGATTCGGGGTGATCCATGAATTTGTCCCAAACACGACCCATGGGACTGCCATATTTGCCGATCACTTGGGGTGGTTGACTGGGGGTCTTTCTGGGGCGGCAGTCCTATGGCAGTCCCATGGAGTGCCTGGGTGTTATGAGGATCAGCGTACTGGAATGCTTTTATCACAGAGAAATCCAATGCATGTGCACCACTGAGTTCCCCATTGGGACGGGACACATCTCCCATTTCTGCGGTAAGACTGTGCCGATGGGGTGTGATGCACTGTGCTGATCTCGTGCTCGTGTTCATTCTTGGGTTCTTGGAAGATCAAAGAAAGCATGTGCAACGCCCAACTGAAGAGCAAACCTAGAGTGTTCATTGATGTGTTCGTTTTTTCTCAGATTGAATCAACTAAAACAGCTTTGTGTTTGGAGCAACCAGCGCCTGGATGCGGCATCGGTCAAAACCACCGCAGGACTTCGTTATCGGTCAAATCCACAAGGAACCCACCAAACTACTAGGAGATGGAAGAGGAAACCAGTAAGACATTTTTATGGACAAAAGATGACAAAAGACTCCGTCACCGTGGACCATCAGGTGGGTTCGGAGTTTTTGTAAAGTCCATTAAGTTTCTTTCTTGAACCATCCAAAGGGCTCATCATCACTGGTCTTTTTTCAGGCTCTTAGGATCTCTCAGGTGCGCGCCCCCATGATCACAGGCGCGCCCATCATCCGCCATTTCACTCATTCCTGGTCCATTGGGCCAAATGAAACCATGGGTCTCCACCCTGGCACAATCTCCATGACTTCGAAACGGTTTTCGAGCGAGGCTGGTCGTCGTTTCACGTGAAGGAAGATGACTTCATTGGGCGGCTAGAGCTTTGGCACAGCTTTGCGCGCCAGTTGATCTTTCTTTGGTTGTGGTGGTACCATCGGTTTGTGGGTTGGTGAGTTGACACTGGGGATGGATAGGGGTAGGGGTGGGTTTGGGTGGGTTTTGCTTGGTGTAACATCCCTGGGCATCCCTTTGGCATGCCAGGGTTGATGGGTCTTCACTTTGTTTCTCAGCAACGTTCTTTGGGCCCCACCTGACAGGACTCTGAAAGTGAGTGTTTATGTCTATCCCTAGGGCTCCAAGTACCTTTTGAGAAGGTGTTTGGGGTGGGTTTAGAGGGTCCAAATATCTTCTGAGGAGGCACTTAGATATAATCTGTTTTGACAATGTTTGACCTCTGCCACAGGGCATCACCCGGTGTCTTGCCAGGCACCCACTCAGTGTGCTACCAGTGGCCAAGCAGGCCCCAGAAGAACTTGATGGCTTGGGAATAGCTCAAAGTAAAGCATGTTCTTTTGTTTACACTGGCCAGGGCGCTCCAATGTGCTCCGGTGTCCAGAGTCTAAATGGTGGAATTCAGGATTTGGAAAGGAAGGACGACTAGAGGGAGCCGCACCCGGACAGTTTTGTGAAGGAAGTCCACACTTCCCCGAAGTCCAGTGTAATTAGAAACATCAATGAAGCACAGAAATCACCCAGTTTCAACAACAGGAGTTCTCATATGCCTGGTTTTCATCAGGGTGGTGATTTTCCCTTGTGGGTCAAACAACCAAAATCCTCTTCGGTAGATGGTTTTCGTGTTTGGCCCCGCAAGCGCCGCAAATCCCTTCGATTTTCGGGTATCTTCGTGGGGCGTTGAACGGACGGTCGCACCACGTTTGACGGTGAACGGACGTCTCTCTCGCAGATCGGCCGAGGTTGGTGAAGATGGTTGATCCAAACCATCCATCTATGGAATAGTTACATTCTGGGTGTGTCCCATTAAAAGTCATTAAACCGGTAACAGTCGGTAAACACTGGTCACAGAAAGGCCTGCGACCCAACCATCATCCACTGGGTCGTGGACCGGATAGACCCAACTTGCATGCATTTTACATCATCCAAATGGCTCATCCATGTATGAAAAATCGTTGTGACCCACCACGGCACCCCACCCCACGGATTAGTGCTTAAGCTGCCATGTAGGTCACTCTTCGGTTGATCTGAGGATCCAGGCTTCTCCTCCCCCGTCTTCTGGACCTGTCTGTCGGGGAACGTGATCTTTCTTGTGCTCATGCGATACTTGGCAACGCCCACCGACGCCGGGCCGGCGCCGGGGGACACGAGAGGACGGTAGATCATGCAGTTCCCCCCCTCCCCACGTGGATTTCAGGTGAATTGGAAGATCCAGAGACACCCCTTTTTGGTCAAAAGCTGCGCACGTTCTTTTTTTTTTTTTTTTTTTTTTTTTTTTTCGGTTCGCTGAAGGACTGCTTCATGTCTCTTTCACCGTCCTTTCCATATGTTTAAACATATCTCAAAAAGCTCACGTCTACTATAACTGACTCTCCGCTCTATACCGTACCCCCGCGTCGTGTCGACGTTCCCAGGCTGGGGCACCATCTATGGATGTCGCCGCTGTGATGTCTTAATCTTTGTGCCTTTGAATACCACGGCCAACATCATCTTGAGCGTGGCCTCGGGGATGATCTGTTTGGCCGCACCGTGGCCGACGGGGAGAGCGGGTGGGAGAGCGGGGGTAGAACCGGGAGAACGGGCGGTAGAACCGGGCGGGGGGGGTAGGAGTAGCAACCGGGGGGTATAGCAACGGGCCGGGGGTACCTGGGAAGGGTGAAGAGTGGCGCTTGGCCATGTGTACCTTCAATCAATTGAAACTAGAAAGAGAGTCAAGAGCAAACAACTGATTCAGAGGAGAAAGACTGACTCTAACATACTCTAACCATTTAACATCGTTTAACATTCCCTAAATGTAGAATATCAGTAAAACCATCCGAAACTTAACCTGTTACGGTGGCCAAATTGGCCACATGGTCTTCGTTTTTTGGTCGGCCTGTTGGTGTGGGAGCATTGGAGTCTCCTTGATAAGAGGGAGACAGTGACTCCGATTTCCAGGGTGGCTTTTGGATGCTTTTGGAAGGTTTCTAACTGTGGGTACCATTCTGAGAAGGTGGTCTCAACTTCTGGCATCTTCTGGCCAAACCTTCCCTTTTCACACCTCTTTCTACAGCTTTTCGACTACCCGGGTGCCACTACCTGCCTCCATCACCAACAGCATCGCGTGACGCGTGGGCGCACTTGGGGCACTCGGGCACTCTCAGGAATATCGCTCCGTGAAATCGTGGCCGGGCTTGGTCACGGCTGGAGTCTCCATGCTTTGTGGCATTTTCATGTTAGTCACCGGCCCCGCAGAGACGACCCCCAGCACCACCTTGAGCATCGTCGACTCTGAAGGTGGTCGCCGGACTGCAAGGGAGTTGGTGATGGGCTGGTGATGATTGCTTTAATGATCTGGAACGACCTATATGCCGGAAAAGGGGGATCACATGCAGGTCACCTGTTCGAGGAAAAATGGTTAAACTCCACTCAAATCCGACAGGTGAAAATCAGTGAGCCTTTATGTTGCAGGGAAGCTGAGGGAGTCTGGTTTTCTGTGAAAACACATGGGTGTGATCCATGCAAGTTTGTCTTCCTAAGCTTGCCGGGGGGTTGCTAGATCATTGACACGGGAACCTGGATGATGGGTCGCAACACTTTTGCCCGACCTTCATGGATACAGATCTGTGGGGACTCCAAGTCTTCTTCAGATCTCTCCGTGCAAAAACGTCGTCAATTCCCTGGTTTCCTTGTTGCCAGGCAGCAAGCAGAGCATCTCTGAGGAGGAGTCTCCCCAATCCTTTGCGCGGAGTGGTACCTCTCAAAGCTCGGGATTGGGTGATCCCGAAATCTCTGCCACCTGTGCATCTGACTCAGCCATCTCGCCTTCCAGCAAGCTCAGGAGGTGCCGAGATTGTTCTCCGGGGGGGACGGCCGGAAAACGACCTTTGTGACGGGAAGCCTGTAGAGGTTGGACCGTCGTGGCTGTGGCGTCTTCGAATCGAGCGTCTCGCTTGAGACCAGGACCTCGTTTTCGCGGCCTTCCCGGACTGGTGCGGTGAACATGGTGGGACTCTTGATTGATCAACACCCCCCATTGGCCTCCAGGGATTCCAGGGTGAGTTGAACCCCCCTCACCTAAGACCTAAGACCACACAAGTTGGATCCTCCTCCGGCGTCCCTGAAGGTCCGTTTGTAGTGCTAGTGCAGGTGACCCAGTACGGTGTAGATCAGGCAGACTTGGTGTAGATCTCCAGCAGGGAATCCACAAAGGTCTTGCTTCCGTTTCACCATCGGTGGAGTGGAATCTCTGTCCTTTGAGGAAGATCAGGAACATCAGGTCGAGACTTTATGAGGAAGATCGAGACAGGATGAGATGCTAGACTGTTAGTTGCAATTGTATACCAGACCATCCATGAGACTGGAATACTCATGCCTGCGGCCATTCCAATGGATGCCATGGTGTTGTCTAGAAACTCACTGAGCCGGAGTTCCCAATTTGGGGGATGCTGGTCTGAACCAACAACATTGATCGCATGAATAGCCCAAAAACAACCCTACCAGGCAACAACAAAGAACAAAAAACACCTCCCATCACATCCTCCCATCACCTCCTTCCTGACACCAGGACCGTCACCGTTCCTCCCCTCTACTCAGGCGTATCCCTGGACTGAGCTTCGTCTATTTGAACCGCGTGCACCGCCGTGCGGCGGCCGCCAACGCACGTTTGAGCCGCGAACTGAGCAGCACCACGTTCCCGCGTGAGACGCGGGAAGAGGCGGAGGAAGCAGAGACTTAGGTGGTTGGGTTGCTTGCGTCCCCAAAAAAGGACACATAGAGAGGATAGGAGAGGATGCAAAAGAAGTACTGTAATATGATGTCGAGTCGTATGTAATATGGAATGTAAGTAAGAATCTTTAAATTTTGGCCAGGATAATGCTGAATTTCGGGTGGATCAATGTTCAATGAACATCAAGAATGCCTTGCAAAGAGCAGGAAGAGAAGAAGTGAGCCCACACCAGCTGCCAGGCTCACCAGCAGAAGCCCAAAAGGGGTTTCTGGCAACATGAAAACCTGGATCCTCAGTCTACTGACAGAGTTTTGAACACTGAGTCCCAGTCGGTTGTGCCTAACATTTTTATTTAAGTATCTACTATATAACAGAATCCAAGTTCCAAGTTTTAAAGAGTTGGATCGTCACCGTTGTCACGGACACTTTCTGAATCAATCCTATCTTTACGATATTATGGACACGAATTGACACAACTCGCTTACACTCGCTTACACGCACACGACTCACTTACACTGTGGGGCCATCCATGTCAATTAGTTGGAGAGTACCTTAGCTCTATCACATCGGATCCAGGATGTGATTCGTCTCCTCCATGCAGGCGGTGTTTTGAAAAAACCACCCGCCCTGAGAACGAGTCTCGATCGAGAAGTGGTTTTTTGCTTCTCCGCGTCTCGAGAACATGCGACCGCGCCTGATCAGCGGGCGGTCTCGAGCCGGAGCTCGTCTCAACAACGGGACCCGCTTCCTGTTCGGACCTGGACCTGGAGTCGACCCGTTCGTAGCTCGGAGAACGAGGTACAGATCTACCTGTTTTGAGAGGGTCATGTGCCATTTTCTAAAGTACTTTGGAAGGTCCAGGTATACTTCAACCTGAAAAAATGGGGTCCACGAGCAGTGTAGGGTATTCCATTGGAGAACCCGAACCGAAGGTACTGGTACACCTTTTTGAAGCTTTGTTTTGAATGGACCCGTGACCCGTGAAAGATAGTGAAAGGAACATATTTTGATATAGTTTGGGTGGTTGGTGGTCCAAAATAGAGGATGGCCTGTGAAGGACGTGAAGGAATTCCGGTTGGCTTCCCACCCCCCTGCAGGAGTGGATAACACAGAGCGCCCCCAGTAGTGCACAATTATGAACATGAGGAACATTCGCGTGGTGCATCTCATTTTCTATGTGACTTGCACTCCATTTCTACCGAAGTGCAGAGCCTCATCCAATACCCGGCCGGTTTGGGAACAGGAAGATTCCAAATATACCCCAAGTGACTTGCTGTTGGCCGACTCCATCCCCTAGACCTCCAAGATCTAAGAACACTCCTTCCCACTCTCATAGATCTCCATCCCATAGTTCCCACTCCATTGAACAGGATGATGCCGATCTTACACCTTCTTTTTGGGGAACTGGACAATACTTCGGAACTCCCGTATTGTTTGAGACGAAATCGATCAATGGTTTAGCTGGGATCCTCGAGATGATCAAATGTCTTGAGGACTGCTTCATCTAATTCAGTGCTTTGGGATTGCCCAGGCGTCAGGACGATCGCCAGGATGGAGGGGTGATTTACCATGGACAGTCTCAAAGACATGGAGTGAACAACATCCTTTGAGGTATCCTGGCAGATGGTTATAATATAGTGTATGTTATATAATTCTAAAGTTGCCAATTGAACTTTGCAATACATTCTCCATTACACTTGTTCATCAGTTATTTGTGCAGCACTCTACTGGGCAACACGGTTTATCGATGTTTATGTAATTCGGTGTGCACAGGCCTGTGGGAATTCGTGGAGTACAGAGGAGCTCGGATTAATGTGCGTACGCAGACTATGCAAAAAACAACACGTGCGAAGGGCAGCTCCTTCTGTGGCAACCTGCTTGGGGCTTCAAAGGTTCGTGCCACGTTTGCAGTGATCGGAAAGGGAATACCATTTCCGAGAAGATATATATACTTAGTACTAGGTTTGTTGGGGATGGGCATGAGGATGAAGCTGCAGGTTTGTGAATCTAGTTTGTTTGAATTAAATTAAACAACTGTTACAACTGTTCAACCTTTTTTGGAATAGCTAACACGGTCCATGAAGTATGATTAATTCATCA